GTAGAATTGGGATTATGATAGTGGTGGTGGGGGAAACATTTAGGAACTAGAGGAAAGTTGTATGTTTCATCGTTTCTACACTGTACCCTGACTGGCTTGTCTCCTCCCCGCGACCCTTCTGTAAGGGAATGTCCAATTGCCTACAGATGGGCTTTGGGTCCCCACTCCGCACTCCCCCTCATTCACAATGATAGGATTTTTTGTTCTTTGATGCCTGATACCTCATTCCTTCGACACCGTGTGCTCACCCCCCCAATACAATCACTGAAGACAAATGGGTGCATAAGCAAATGTGGTGAAGAAAGCTGATGGTGCCAAGTTATCAAAAGATAAAGCATCTGGGGTCTTAGAGACTTGAAGGTAAACAAGCGGCCATCTAGCTTGGAAGCAACAAAGCCCATATGGAAGAAACACACCAGCCTGTCAATGGTACTTTTATGAACCCAGTTCACTGAAGAGGGCTACGAAGGCAAGAGACTCCCTCAAAGAGGGAGAAAGAAGTCAACATTAATTCTAAATTCTAAAATCTGAGTAAGATTTAAATGAGGAAACCAGGGCTTCAAAAACTCACGAAAAAATTTGTTTTAATTCCATTTTTTATTAACCTTGTGGAGTCCCCACATATATGACGAGATCACTAAGTTTATGTGACCTATCTCCCATATTTGTTATGAAACAGATTTAATTGTAAATTATGTGTTCTATGGGTAAACGGGACAAATGAGCTTCTCTTTTTAAAAAAAATCATTTTATTGGGGACTCATGCAACTCTTATCACAATCCATAAATACATCTATTGTGTCAAGTACATTTGTACATTCGTTGCCATCATCATTTTCAAAACATTTGCTTTCTAAGCCCTTGGTATCAGCTCCTCATTTTTTCCCCTCCTTCCTCATGAGCCCTTGATAATTTATAAATCATTATTATTTTGTCATGTCTTGCACTGTCTGACATCTCCCTTCACCCACTTTTCTGTTGCCCGTCCCCCAGGGTTATATGTAGATCC